ACAGTGGGAAGGATGCACAGTTATTCCTAACTTTGCTATGGGGGGAGAGCTAAGGCTCCTTTTCCTACTGAGATGAGGCTCTGGAGACTGATGTTCCCAGGGATACAAAGCTGGGGCAGCTCAGTTGAAATTCCAGTAGCATCCTGACTCCAAAGCCCATGTGCAGAAGACCAGCTGAGGGTTTATTTTTCTAGTCACAGAAGTAATATATCCCTATCACAAACATCTTGAATTAGACAAAGATATAAAATAGAAATACATAGCTAACATTTGTTGGGCACTTCAAGCATTTTATTTACAAAACCCCAAGGTATAGCTTTTATCATTGCCATTTCTAGTGGAGAGAACCAAAGTGCAGAGAAGCTGGGATTACTTCTTGTGTAATACTGGGGTAGTACTGGGCCTGCAGTGGTCACTCAGCAGGTGGTTGCTCAGCTTCAGACTGGGAGGCTGGCCGGCTGGCCATGCCAGAGGCTGAGGCCTGAGCTCTCTGTTGCCTTTCAGATGGCGAGCGGCTGCAGCTGCAAGATGAGGAAGATGACAGCTTGTGTCGCATCTGCATGGATGCCGTCATCGACTGTGTCCTGCTGGAGTGTGGGCACATGGTTACCTGCACCAAGTGTGGCAAGCGCATGAGTGAGTGTCCCATCTGCCGGCAGTATGTGGTGCGAGCCGTGCACGTGTTCAAGTCCTAAAACTGAGGCTCCCCTCAACAGGACAGTCACCCCCAAACTTGACCCCAAACATTTCAATGCACAGAAGGGACTAGAAAGTTACTGTTCAAAGGCTGAAACTATTTTTTTAAATTATTTTCACTACTAACTGGGGACAGAAAGATCCATACTGAGTTGTGGAAACCTTGGTCCACGCTGTGAGCCTGTCTGCCTGTGGACACATGAGCTTCCCAGGTTCAGCTGGGCTTTATCACCCATCCCGTGAATACTCATTGAAGTCAGCCTGTTTGCGCCATGTGGGCATCAGCTACTACTGTCTTTGGAGGACAGTTACCCTGTTCTCTTATTTCCCCTTCATCCTATTTTTAACTTAAACTGCTCAGATGTTTGAAACTTCTGTCCTCTTTGGATGAGATCAGTGTCCACAAGTGGCCGACATGGAACATGCTGAGCAGGGGCTCCTCTGAATGTTCACTTTATTAGTCATGTATATTTTAAATGCTAACTAACATTTGATGAATGTAAGTTTCCACATTGTTGCTGTTTCTGCATTTAAACGTAATTGGGAACAACTGATATTCTATAGTCGACTGCCAGGGCCTTAGACTACACATGTCCATTTTTGTTCAGGTATAGCTTTTTATAGCAAGGGCTGCATCTAGCTTCTTTTATTAGAAGTGTGTGTGCTAAATTCTTTATTAATGTGTAATCAGTTTACACCGTTTTGTATAGTGAAGGTGTATTTTCAGTGCTACCCGCTAGCTGATTTTAACTTTAGGAATAAAATTAGTTTTAAAAGCTGTTGTTTGCATTGTCTTGGTCAGTTCCTAAATCAGTAACATACAGCATGAATGGGGATCTGCACACTGGTCTAGCACCCCTCTTCAGAAGAGATGGTGGGAGTACCTTCAAAGATGTCACATTCACATGGGGGCCAGGTGCAGTGGCTCATGCCTGTAATCCCCAACACTTTTGAGGCTGAGGTTGGAGGAATGCTTGAGCTCACGAGTTCAAGACCAGCTTGGACAACATGGCGAAACCCCATCTTTAGAAAAAATATGAAAATATTAGGTGTGGTAGGCCCAGCTACTTGGGAGGCTGAGGTGGGAGAATGGCTTCAGCCTTGGATGTGGAGATTGCAGTGAGCCAAGATCACGCCACTGAACTCCAGCCTGGGTGATAGAGCTAGACCTTGCCTCAAAAAAACAAAACCAGTGTCACATGAACAACAATGCTTACGTTTCCTGTTAGTAAGGTTAATTACTAATGTGCTATTTCTTGTGTACAGTTATTGTGCTAGGAGCTGTAGTTGCCTCTAGTCTTCAAAGCAACATTCTGAAATAAACATTGCCTCCCTTCTCAGATGGGGAACCCTGATAAATCAGAGTTGTCTGAAACCTCATGGTTAAAAAGTGGCTATGCAAAATTTGAACCTACCTCTAATACCAGAGTTGCTCTTAACCCTTCCACTACCACATAAGAAATGAGAAACTTCAGCCAGGCATGGTGGCTCACGCTTGTAATCCCAGCACTTTGGGAGGCCAAGGCGGGTGGATCACGAGGTCAGGAGTTTGCGATTAGCCTGGCCAACATGGTGAAACACTGTCTCTACAAAAAAAAACAAAAATTAACTGGACGTGGTAGTGGGCACCTATAATCCCAGCTACTTGGGAGGCTGAGGCAACCTACTTGGGAGGTTTCTGCTTGAAACCAGAAGACAGAGAGTCGAGATCACACCACTGTACTCCAGCCTGAACGAAAGAGTAAAACTCTGTCTCAAAAAATGAGAAACTTGAGATATTAACTTATGCAAAAATGTTCCGAAATCTCTTTTAGGTCCAACTTGACTTGATTCGGGATGGTTGAGACCAACTGAATTCAGTGCAGTTGGAAGTGGGCAGATGTTTTTGAGAAATGCCTCGCTTCTGAGAGTCTTACCTCCTGACTCTGCAGTGAGTAACACACATGCCCTCGGGTGCTCAGAATCTACTAGTCAGTCAACAGAACTGAAGATACCTGTGAATTTCAGGAGGCAGATGTCCCTGTGCTTTGGACAGAAAGTTTGTGTGGCTAACTGTAAAGATAATAACATTTCTCTTTTCTGGTTTTAAAGGTGAAAGCGTGTAAATCAGGGCCTCCTCGGTTGTTAAGCAGGTCACTACTTCCCTATAGAAGCAGCATAAGTTGCTAGAGCTTTGTGGGCACTGTACTTTGTCTATATTTTTCATGAGACACTGGAAATTTTTTTTTTTTTTTGAGCTGAAGTATCTCACTCTGTCACCCAGGCTGGAGTGCAGTGGCACTATCTCGGCTCACTGCAGCCTCCACCTCCCAGGTTCAAGCAATTCCCCCACCTCAGCCTCCTGAGTAGGTGGGATTACAGGCACCCACCACCAGGCCCAGCTAATTTTTATATTTTCAGTAGAGACAGGGTTTCACCATATTGGTCAGGCTGGCCTTGAACTCCCGACCTCATGATCCTCCCACCTTGGCCTCCCAAAGTGCTGGGATTACAGGCATGAGCCACCACACCCAGCCAAGACTCTGGAAATTTTAACATTTCCTCCAAATTGATAACTTGGTGGTGGGAAGTCTTTAAATCCAGGCCATAGAAGCTAGGCAGTAGGTGCTGGTTTTGTCTAAATTAAGTTCAAAAATTCAGATTTGTACATAGTCTTAGCTTAAAAAAGTTTAATGTTTAGTCTTAGATTTGCGTATTGTGTTTCAGTGGCTTCTTTATAAAAAGTAGAAAATGCTTAGTGGATTATTTTAAAGAGCAGTTTGAAGTAACCCTGGTTTACTAGCCAGACAACAGAAATTTTTAGTGTTAAAAAGCTTGATACATGGAAATTGGCTTGTTTGGCAGAGGGCAAGCATTTCCCCCTGGAATTTTTAGACTGGCATGCCTTTCTACCCCCATTTTGCAGGCAGAGTACAGTGGCATCATAGCTTACTATAGTCTTAACTTCTGGGCTCAAGCAATCCTCCCACCTCTGCCTCCCCAGGAACTGGCATATGATGCACATCACCATGTCTGGGTAATTTTAAACTGCTCCCCCCCCCCCCCCGCCCTAGACAATGTCTTGCTCTTCTGCCCAGGTTGGAGCACAGTCGCGCAATCTCGGCTCACTGCAACCTCTGCTTCCCAGGTTCAAGCGATTTTCCTGCCCCCTCCTCCTGGGTAGCTGGAATCACAGGTGCATGCTACTAATCCTGGTTAATGTTGTACTTTTAGTTGAGACAAGGTTTTACCATGTTGGCCAGGCTGGTCTCGATCTCCTGACCTCAGGAGATCTGCCCGCCTTGGCCTCCCAAAGTGCTGGGGTTACAGGTATAAGCCACTGAACCCAACCCCATGCTGCTTTAAGTACATTTTTTGAATAGGTCATGCATGTCATATGGATAAAATTCTCAGTCTGCAGTGGAATACAGTGAAGTCTCTATCCCATCTTCACAATATGAAAGGATGTCATTTGAGGTGCCATGGTGTCTTCCTTTGTAAACATCAAATTCCCTAGAGGAAGGGACACAGCCTTTAGGTTACTAATCTGTGATTTGACACAGCAAGCATTCCCTTGGGTTTATGGTCCTCTCGTTACTTCATCAGACATGGTGGTGTGTGGGCTCAGAGTGGTTGCTTGTAGCATTTAACTTTGGCTGGCCTTATCTTTGGCTCATTTTAAAAATAAAAGGGCTGGGCGCTGTGACTCACACCTGTAATCCCAGCACTTGGGGTGGCAGAGACCAGCAGATCACGTCAGGGTCAGGAGTTCAAGACCAGCGTCGCCAACATGGTGAGTGAAACCCCAACTCCACTAAAAATACAAAAATTAGTGGCAGGTGCCTGTAGTCCCAGCTACTTTGTAGCCTGAGGCAGGAGAATTGCTTGAACTGGGAAGGTGGAGGTTGCAGTGGGCCAAGATTGTGCGACTGCTCTGCAGCCTGGACAAGAGCAAAACTCGGTTTCAAAAAAAAAAAAATAAAAGGCCTGCACGGAGACTGTGGGTTTGTACTGAAAAAACTGGGTTGTTCAGTACTCTTAGGAGGAGTTCATCTATGGCCACTGCACTATATAGTGACCTCTCCTGAAACTGGAGATCTGCTGTGTCTCTGCTGTATTGCACATCCCTGTGGTGGCTCAGATCCCCAGCCCTGACAGTTCCTCCCAAGCAGACCTGTGTACTCCAGGAACCCTTAGAGGAGACACACTGCCTTCTAACCCTGAGGCCTACTTCCCTTAACCAGTCCCGATTGCAGCCACAAGTCTCAGTCTTAGCTACTGAGTGACTACAGGAGCCATTCACAGCAATTAACCTTAAAGCAATTGGAAAAGGATGACTTTACTGGGTGTCAAGGTAGCTATATTATTAATGTTTGGAGAGCTTAGGCTGTCAAGAAAACAAACATTACCATTCATGAAGACATTGCATGTTGAACAATCAGACTTACAAAGGAAAGTCACATTTTCATAAACCATAGAATAAAGTGGATTCCTGAGTTAAATTCTGGGGTACAGTGGCTTCAGGTGTCTTTAGATTGAGTCATCAAGGGTCTCGATTTAAATTAACAGGAGACATGGCTCTAGATGAGATCTTTGTCTTTTTTTTTTTTAATTGACATGGAGTCTTGCTCTGTTGCCAGGCTGGAATTCAGTGGCACCATCTGAGCTCACTGTAACCTCCGCCTCCTGGGTTCAAGCAGTTCTGCCTCAGCCTCCTAAGTAGCTGGGACTACAGGTGTGTACCACTACTGCTGGCTAATTTTTGTAATTTTAGTAGAGATGGGGTTTCACCATGTTAGGCTGGTGTCAAACTCCTGACCTCAGGTGACCCACCCGCTTTGGCTTCCCAAAGTGCTAGATCCACTCCATCTGGCCTGTCTCATTTTAATTAAAACAGTTTTGCCATGGCAAAAATAAAAGGTACAAATATAAAACTTGGCCACCAGCAGGAAAGGCTTGTTCCACAGGGCCAAAGTCTTACATTGCTCTTAATCACTGAGGAAGTAAGTTGGTTAACCTTCTCCATCTTCAGCTTCACTAGAGCAGTTGTTTCTGTATGTGAGTATGACATTGCCAGCAGGGTCCTGTCTTGAAAAAAAAATTCTGTAATATAAAATTATTTCTCGTTTCTGCATCTGCTGCTTGGGGAAGCCACCTCATGACCAAGTGTTTCCTACAGCCACCATGGCCCAAGGTTACCGGTACAGGATGCAGCCTCCTGAGGTTGCTCCCACTGTACCCCAAATCTGGGGAACTTTTAGGCAAAGGTAATGGCAAAGTAGCCGTGGAAGTAATTTTGTGTGGTAAGAGGCACATAGACAGATGAACAACTCTTCTTAAAGAAGTCTGTGTCTAATTCCTACCTGTGGCTGTTGTCAGAGCATGGTTCTTTCCCTATTACCTTTATTAGCCAGAAACAGATATCTTTCTGAAGAAGAAAAATGATATACCACAGGGCTGCTGCATTTCTCAGGCGAATCAGAAATTACATTGTTTGGGCCTCAAAAGAGTGTTTACTGACTCTGGGCTTAAACTTCTAGTCTATTCCTAGAACAAAAACCCTCCAAGTTCAAGAGTTTTTTTTTTTTTTTTTGTACAATTGTTTATACAAACTCAACAAAGGTAAAATCGAATCAGGGAAGGTCTAGGAAACACCACCTTACAACAATGGCACTTATAAATGCAGAACCTTACAACTAGGAAATAGCCATGTTACAAACCTAAATGAGAACTCAACCCACACTTCAGAGGAGAGAAAAAACGAAAAGAAAGGCTATGTGGGAGCATTTATTCTACGTCTTGACTCACTGTATAAATTAGATCTATGTAAGTACAAGAGCTCATGCTGGAGCAGACCCTCCTGAGTGCAAAGGCTGAAGTCGAAATTTTAAAATTTGAGAAAAGTGAATTCTCTACAGAGGAAACTTGGCAAAGTATCTTACTTCGACTATAATTTACATTTATACACAACATGCTCATGAAACTCTTGAGGTACAAAGCAGGCTCTCAACTTCCAATTAAACATGCTTTTAAGTGGAAGGTCTTAGCCTGCTTTGTTAGATCTGGGCACATTCGTAGATGGGTTGTGTCAATGAAGTACATGTTAAGTTCTCTCCTACCTTAAGGAAATCAGGAAAATTGGCAATCTCAAAACAATAAAAACACTGGTATGCATTCAAACCTTGCATAAATAACTTTTAAACAATTTGTACAAAAATAGTTCTGCATAATGTAAGATGTAACAAAACCAAACAAAAAGTGTGTCAAGACGGCAGCAGATGTGGTGTGTGGTCCACTTGATGTCAACACCCAAAACCTCAGAGTTGCAAGGAATGAAGTGTTCAAAACACCACCACCACCACCAACAGAAACTCCTAAGCTCACGCTTCAGTATGAGAATTTCTCCACAGTCCACCCTCCTCTCCGACAGGAATGTCTTCTTATAAAAGCCACCTTAGAAATGGTCCAGAAAGCAGTGCAGTTACGACTTAGAGCAAAGGAAAGTGTCGGCTCACACATCCCCCAAACGGGTGGTTGAACAGCTTCTCCCTTGGAAAGACTTGCAAAATGGAATTGCTTTGTGGTCTGTTGTCCCAAGTTCCAAGTGGAAAATAAAAGCCCTCATTTTTGTAAAGTCTTTCCCCCTCCCAGAGCCCACCCCATATTTACATACTTGTCCTTGGACTAACTCAGTTTTTGCAGGAGTTTTTCTTCCACTTGCCCAAACTGGACACTCACAGACATCTCGGCTATGAACTGCTCACAGCCTTCCTTGGTGACTTGCTTGCAGTACCTCAGGTCAATATGACAGATGTTTCCACAGCGTTTGAAGAAGGACAGGCACTGATCAGTGACCTTATTGCAGTCTGCAGGGAAGATGTAATGGTGACGTATGAGGGCCAGGAGCCGGAAGGCCCCCCAGACCAGGCACTCAGCACTGGGGACATGTCGGAGCTCTACATATTCCAGCCTCTAATGTGCTATGCTAAATGTTATTTCCTTAAAATCTCTCTTCTTCAAATGGGGAAGGGTTTCACCCACCAGGTATAAAGGTTAATATAAAAGCATTCAGATAACCAAGTAAGTGAAAATCACTTCTAATCTTACCACACAGCATATATACATACAGATGTAGGCTCATGTAAGTAGTTCTATGTGCTTTTACAATGATAGGCTCACACAAACACTACTCCACTATACAACTCAAAGGCTTTTTTCATCTAATATATTGTTGATGAGTACTGCTCTATGTGTGTTATTGTGCATTTATCTGCCTCTTCCCTTCAGATAAATTCCCAGAGGGGCATCACTGGGTCACAGAAGGAACAGCCCTAAGGGCATCTTGGGATCATTTTTGCTCTGGCAGGCCCCAGTGCTTTGGAGCAATTCACAGCATGAGGGACAGCTGTTTGACCCTAACCCAAGGACTGACCGTGTGCAACAGCCTAGGCACCAGATCAACATGCCCTTCTAGCAAAAGCAGAATTCAGACTTCATCACACCTTTATCTGCAGACGCACCCTTTGACTGTGCTTTTGTTTTGTTTGTGAGACGGAGTCTCACTCTTGTCACCAAGGCTGGAGTGCAATGGTGCAATCCCAACTCACTGCAACCTCAGCCTCCTGAGTAGCTGGGATTACAGGCGAGTGCCACCATGCCTGGCGCATTTTTTATTTTTTGTTACATTTTTAGTAGAAACTGGGTTCCACCATACTGTCCAGGCTGGCCTCAAACTCCTGACCTCAAGTGATCTGCCTGCCTCAGCCTCCCAAAGTTCTGGAATTACAGGCTTGAGCTACTGTGCCTGGCCTCAATGATATTACATTTGTGATCTTTGCTAATTATCCTTAGTATCAGCACTTTCATTTCTCTATTAAATTGGGTGGGAATAAAAACACTAAGGGCAAACCACAATTGTGTACACAAAGCCTATGCCACCTACATGTTACCAGAGTCCCTGCAGGTGTGCAGGCGGAGGAAAGAAGTCAAGTCAGGGTACCACATGAGCCGCCAAACCGACTTCCTTTATATAGTCAGTCTTTTCAGACAGTGTCCTCACATCAGCACAGAATCTTCACACAGATGCTAACCAATTCACGAATGTGGAGCAGTGGTGCTGGAAAGCTGTCTACACACATTCACAAGTGAAATTTGCTTTTAGACTAAGGATGGGAAAACCGGACAATGCTGACAGATGCTTCAACAGACAACTCTGTTTCCCAAAGGGCATCCCTTTATCTTCTAATTAATCCCTCAAGTAGTTCCCCCATCCCACAAATGGCTGACCCTCTTCATAATCTTACTGCAAAATCCAATGATGAAGGATGTTGTAAAATGCTATCATAGAATTCCTCTGGGAAACTCATGATCCCCAAAACTGAATACTTGATTCATTTTAAGTATAAAGAATAGGGATTTTACCAATATAACAAGCTTATTTCCATATACTTTTGTTTTCATTTTTTACTATTTACTATGACATGTTGACTATGCTAGATTTGAACTCCTGGTCTCAAGTAATCCTCCCCACTCAGCCTCCCAAAGCACTGGGCTTATAGGCGTTGAGCCCCTCCAGCCAGGATGATTTTCTTAGAGGATGTTCCACATTCACACTTGTCTGTCTTCACACTGTCATTTAGCTTGTTCCTTATCTCCTGTTCCTCCTATAAACTGCAGATTAGGCCCAGAGACTTGCTTAGTTTCAGGTTAGACATTTTTAGCAAGAAATCACCCTCAGAATCTTCCAGCTTGACCCTGTTCCCAGCTCCCTATCTGCCTTCCAGAGCACTGTCTAGCTCATCCTCAGAATGCATCTCATTCCATACTCAGATCCAGCTATACTGCCCGCACTCCATCACCAGCTCAGGGATATTTTTCCCCTGTAATGTTTGCCTAGTTCCTGGCTAGAAGGGACTGACCCAAGTCCTGCCTCTCCCTTGGCACCTTCAAGCGCTAGAGCAGGCAGCTCCCATGCCAGAGAAGTCTGCCATCTGGCTGGCACACTGCTGTGCCCTGCAGCTGTCAGACAGCTGAGGGGGCCTCAAGTGCATCCTGGCACTTACCTGTCGGTGGTAAGGCAGCACTCGGTGTGAAGTGAGACCTGGAGGCCCAGCTGCCTCCTTTTCTGAGTTGTCTTTGAGTACTAATTTGGGCCCTCTTTGGAGGCTCACTCGTGCCCAGCCAGCATTCTTCCTGGCTTGTGGTTCAAATATTCCCCAAAACTGGAGCTTAAGGACCCTTCCCATCAAAGAAGTTAGATGGAAAATACTTTCCTTTGGTCCCTCTGGAGTTGACTCCAGCCTGGTTTCTTAGACCCTCTACACACAGGCTGACAGATGTTTCCTGCTGGTGCAGGGGGCCTACCTGCCAGCCTGCCAGCCTACGGGGGAACATCACTTTTATTAACATCCTCATCATTTCTCCCTCGGCCTTTAAACACTTTAGATCTGGAATCGCACTACTTTGCCCAGGCTGGTCTAGAATTCCCAGACTCAAGTGATCACCGTCTTGAGTAGCTGGGACTAAAAGTGTGTGCCATTATGCCTTGCTTCAAGGAAGGGAAAGACTTGTACTTTGAAGACTATAAAGTATTGCTGAAAGAAACTAGACATAAATGTAAAGTCATCCTATGTTCGTGGATTGGAAGACTTAATACTATTAAGATGTCAGCACTACCTAAAGAAATCTACAGAAATCTATCCTAAAATTCATGTGAATGCATGGGACCCCAAGTTGTCCAAACAATCTAAGAAAAGAACAAAGTTGAAAAACTTGGGCTAGTCTGAAGCTGAGGTGGAAGATCACTTGGGCCCAGGAGTATGATTCTAGCCTGAGCAACAGAGTGAGACCCCGTATCCAAATAAAATACATAGGGGCCAGGCACGATGGCTCATGCCTGTAAGACCAGCACTTTGGGAAGCTGAGGTGGGTGTATCACTAGAGCCTAGGCATTCAAGACCAGCCTGAGCAACGTAGTGAAACCCCATCTCTATAAAAAACACCAACACAGGCCAGGCACAGTGGCTGACACCTGTAATTCCAGCACTACGGGAGGCCAAGGCAGGTGGATCACCTGAGGTCAGGAGCTGGAGACCAGTCTGGCCAACATGGTGAAACCTCATCTCTACTAAACATACAAAAATTAGCCAGGCAGGGTGGCAGGCCCCTGTAATTGCAGCTACTCAGGAGGTTGAGGCAAGAGACTCGCTTGAACCTGGGAGGCAGAGGTTGTGGTGAGCTGAAATCATGCACTCCAGCCTGGGCAACAGAGTAAGACTCTGTCTCAAAAAAAAAAAAAAAAAAAAAAAAAACAAAAAGCCACACACAAAAAAACACCAATATTAGCCAAACATGGTGGTCTGCACCTCTAGTCCCAACTACTTGGGAGGCTGAGGTGGGAGGATCACTTGAGCTTGGGAGCTAGAGCCTGCAGTGAGCCATGATCACACCACTGCACTTCAGCCTGGAGGACAGAGTAAGCCCGTCATTCATTCACTCATAAATAAAGCATGGTACAAGCATGCAGATAGACATATAGACCAATGCAGTAGAATCAAGACCTCGGCCAAGTGTGGTGGCTCACGCCTGTAATCCCAGCACTTTGGGAGGCCGAGGTGGGTGGATCAGCTGAGGTCAGGAGTACAAGACCAGCCTCCTGGCCAACATGGTGTGGTGGTGTGTGCCTGTATTCTGAGCTACTCAGGAGGCTAAGGCAGGAGAATCGTGTGAACCCGGGAGGCAGAGGTTGCAGTGAGCCAAGATCATGCCACTGCACTCCAGCCGGGGTGACAGAGCGAGAGTCTGTTTCAAAAAACAAGAATCAGAGCCCAGAAACAAATCCTCAAATATATGGTCAAGTGATATTTGACAAGGGTGCCGACAGCATTCAGTGAAGTAATAGATATCTTTTCAATAACTGTTGCTGGGAAAATTGGATTTCAACATGCAAAAGAATAAAAGACCTGGCCAGGTGTGGTGGTTCATGCCTATAATCCCAGAACTTTGGGAGGCTGAGATGGGTGGATCACAAGGTCAGAAGTTCCAGACAAGCCTGGCCAATATGGTGAAACCCTGTCTCTACTAAAAATACAAAAATTACCCAGGTGTGGTGGCGTGTGCCTCTAGTCGCGGCTACGTGGGAGGCCGAGGCAGAAGAATCACTTGAACATGGGAGGCGGAGGTTGCAGTGAGCCAAGATCACACCACTGCACTCCAGCCTAGGAGACAGAGTGAGACTCTGTCTCAAAAAAAAAAAAAAAAAAAAAAAAAAAAGATCCTGGGTGCAGTGGCTCATGCCTCTAATTCCAACACTTTGGGAGGCTGAGGTGGATGGATGGATGGATGACCTGAGGTTGGGAGTTCAAGACCAGCCTGATCAACATGGTAGAACCCCATTTCTACTAAAAATACAAAATGAGCCAGTCGTGGTGGCTCATGCCTGTAATCACAGCTGCTCAGGAGGCTGAGGTAGGAGAACTGCTTGAACCCAGGAGGCAGGGGTTGCAGTGAGCTGAGACTGCACCATTGCACTCCAACATGGGCAAAAAGAGCAAAACTCCATCTCAAAATAAAATAAATAAGCTGAACCCCTACCAACCATATAAAAAAATTAAGTGAAGATGATTTGAGACCTAAACATAAGAAAGAGGTAAAGCTGAAGCTCTTTACAAGCAAACAGGCTGGGTGCAGTGGCACACACCTGTAATCTCAGCACTTTGGGAGGCTGAGGTGGGTGGAGCATTTGAGGTCAGGAGTTTGAGACCAACCTGGTCAACATGGTGAAACCCCATCTCTACTAACAATATAAAAATTAAGGCAGGGTGTGGTGGCCCATGCCTGTAATCCCAGCACTTTGGGAGGCCAAGGCGGAGGGATCACCTGAGGTCAGGAGTTCGAGACCAGCCTGACCAACACAGTGAAACCCTATCTCTACTCGAGGCTGAGGCATGGGAATCACATGAACCCAGGAGGCGGAAGCTACAGTGAGCCAAGATCGTGCCATTGCACTCAAGCCTCGGTGACAGAGCAAGACTTCATCTCAAAAAAAAAAAAAAAACCACGAGAAATTCTTCATGACATTAGACTTTGCAATGATTGATATGACACCAAAACCACAGCCAACAAAAGGGGAAAAAGGCCAGATGCAGTGGCTCATGCCTATAATTCCAACATGTCGGGAGGCTTACGCAGGAGGACTGCTTGAGCCCAGGGGTTTGAGACCAGCCAGGGCAACACAGTGAGACCCTGTCTCTAAAACAGAAAAGAAGTCTGGGGATGAATGTTGGTAACAGTTGCAAAACACTGTGACTGTACTTAATGCCACTGAATTGTATGCCCAAAAATGGCAAAGGTGGTCCATTTTACATCATGTATTATCTTACTAAAACATAATTATTTTTGTAATTTTGGAAGCTGGAGAAGAGGTAATAATTTGGGAGACTTGAGAAGGCTTAACCCTGAAGTGGCTAAGGGGAAAGCAGAAAAGAATAATTATTCTACAGAACATCTCCAAGGTATTTAGTGGCGATTTCTTAGAAATTAATGTTGTACTGGAAGTGACAGGTACATTGCAAGATGGTGTTAGTGAGAAGGACCAGTTGAGAATCTGTTCGAGGAGCAGTAAGATGTCCAGATTCCTTTCCCAGAAGAAGACTGGGGTTTTAGTCTCTGATGAGCTGGGCTCCAGCAGGCACATTCAGCAGGCGTGCCCATTCAAAAGTGGGGGCTGCAGGAAATTTACTTGCTGACTGTTGAGAACCTCCTTCCCCTACCAATGGCGGGCCAGCCTATCCCCTTATGAGATCAAGGAGAGTCTGGCAATCCTGACCAGCTTAAGAGGAAGATGGAAAGATCCGATGGCCAGGTTTCTCCCAAGAAATGACCCACAGTAACCATCCTGTAAGTGTTGTCCATAGCAGACAAGCTCTAACCGCATGCCCAGAGTTTCTGATCACTCTTGAGTGGAGAGGACAAGAAAGTATCAGCACTCAAGCCGAGGAAAGCCTCTTCCCAAGGCAACTGACAGCATTTGAAGGGAACAGTCAGTGCAGAGAAGACAATAAAACCATCATTAACATCCTCAGGTAGGGAAATATCTGGCTCCAAGAAACAAGTCATTCCACAAAAAGTTCAGAGAATACAGTTTGAAAATTAAAAATGTAAGTTGAACCACGTGAAATTGCCAACATTTTACTTTTTTTGACCTACAAAAACAGCAGCTTCCCATGGTTCAACTGCACAACAGCTTAAATGAAAAACTCAGTGTATAAGCTGTATGATAAAGTAAGGGAAAACTCCCAGAAAATATAGCAAAAAGATACCGACATGGAAACTAGGAGAGAAGAGAGGAATCAGAGGACTAGTCCAGAAGGAGAAAACAGAGGGGAGGAAGTTAAGAAAGAATTCAAGAAGTTTTTTCTACAACTGAAGAACACAGATGTCTAGAATGAAGGACTTCTATGGTGGGTGAAATGGACTCAAACCAGTTTGTCATCAAAAATTACAGACAACTAGAGCCAATTTTCTATTAACTTCCAAGAGAGAAAATAGATTCACTGACAGATGAAGAATCAAATGGTTTTGGACCTTGCCTCTGGAAGGCAGAAGATGGTGGAACAAAACCTCCCACACTTTCTGCAGCAGCAGGGCCCCCAGACTAGGGTTCTATACCCAGCAGAACTAGCAACTAAATGGGAGGGTTTAATAAAAACAAATTCAGACATACAGGGTCCAGAAAATGTCTCTCACCAAATGTGAGGGTAAACCAAGAGAAAAGATGGAGATAAGGAAGGAGGGTACCTAGGAAAAGACAGAGCCCAAAGGAGTCCAGGATGGCAGCAGTGCAGCAGGTTGGGGTGGCCAGTCCCAGGGGAGAAAATGGAAGGGGAGGAAAAGAAGTCAGGAGGGAGGTCTCTTTACAAAACTGGTCAAGAGACTGATGAGCTGGGGGTGGGGAGGGGAGAACATTCAATTGTGGTATACCATTTGCATAGAAACAAAGCAAACAAAATGAGGCAATTCACTTATACAACAAAAATATTGAGCAAGAAAGAAAATGTACTCATAATACACTATTTGGCTAAATAGTGACCAACACTTAACATGGTCATAATAAGTGAAAGAATAGTGACAACGGAAAACTGGAAAAGATGGAGGGAGAAAAAGGGGGGGAAGGATATAATGTAATAAATCTTCATGTTATATTAATAGCAAGCTAATAAATATACCATGTCCATATAGAAAAACAAATCAAGAAATTGCAGTGCAGGCTTGCTATCTTTTAAATTTTGTTTTGAATTAAAAGTATGGAACACTTCACGAATTTGTGTGTCATCCTTGCGCAGGGGCCATGCTAATCTCTGTATTGTTCCGACGTTAGTATATGGGCTGCCCAAGACTAGGCTTGCTATTTTGAATGTGGAGGTAAACACTGAAGAAAGAACTCACTTAAGGCATTGCCTCAGGTAGTGAGGATGGGATGGAGAAGGGAAAGGCAAGGGGCTGCCTGAGCCCCCAGTAAATATTTCTGAGATGGAATTCAGCCAGAACAACAGCTAGAACTGCGACTTCACTTGTCATGAGACCAGATCCTCCAACCAAGTTTAAGGATCTCGAAGCATGTCATCATCTATTTCGTAGCACAGACTTCTTCCCGTTTCTGGTGCTTGCATCAGGACAAGCTTATTTTACCAGTAACTCAACTAGTTACATCAATGAGGGGAATGACTTTTTTTAAAGAAAACCTAGCAGAGTCTAGGTTTTAGAGATACACCTTAGTATATTTCACAGCTCTTAACAAGAATGCAGGCCAGGTGCAGTGGCTCATGCCTATAATCCCAGCACTTTGGGAGGCCGAGGCAGGTGGATCACTTGAGGTCAGGAGTTCAAGGCCAGCCTGGCCAACATGGTGAAACCCCATCTCTACCTAAAATAAAATATTAGCCAGACATGGTGGCAGATGCCTGAATCCCAGCTACTTGCAGGGCTGAGGCAGGAGAATTGCTTGAACCTGGGAGGTGGAGGTTGCAGTGAGTGGAGATATGCCACTGCACTCCAGCCTGGGCGGTAGAGCAAGACTCCGTCTCAAAAAAAATTGATAATAAAATAATTGAAAAGAGAATACAGAGAGCTGTATGCACTGAGATGAAAAGATGACCTCAGTGTATCATGCTGGAAAAACAAAATGTAGAAGATGACTTGCACACACACATACACAGCATGGACCACACCACAGGAGGGGATTTATACTGAGATCTCCTGTGCATGCATAATAACTAAACCAGGCTATAATGAAAAGATTTAATAAAACATCAGCGCTTAGGGTAAGAGGACTCGCAGGCTTCTCCAAAGGGCAGCCCATCACCAATTCAAGCCCATGACTTGGGCCTGGAGCTGGAGAGGCCTTAATTCACTCTGGTTCTTTGCCTCCATGAGGCAGGACAATCCCTGCCACTGAAACTTCATGAGGGGAAGGATTGGCTTCCTAGGTCCCGAAATGATCTCATCCCATCTAAAGCTCCCATGACCCTGCTGTGAGGCATGGTGGACAGAAAGGTTATCAGGCATGAATGTGTGTGGCAGAAAAGAAAACAACGTGCGTGTCATCGCTGTGCTGTGTCAAAATGTAATTGGAGGATGAAATAGGGGTGTCCTTAGTACTTGGTAATTTCCGAAGGTTAAAAAAAAAAACCCTTAAGTTTCTTTTTCTCTTTTTTTGGTCTCACCCAAACCCGACACCCCCCCAATCTAGACCATCCTAAGCTACCACAACAAAATCGGGTTAGTTGGGCTAAAAGCAGGCAGTATCACTCTGTGTACCTCACTGCACAGTGGAGCCCCAAGTCCTTCAGAACCAACTCTCGTCCCACCAGCAAGCGGAGCAAGTAAAGATTCTGCCGCAAAAGCCACAGACACAGAACAATAATGGAACTAACTGTGGGGTTTTCTTTTTCTCTCCAACAACAGGCCCCTTGATAGCAGGGTCATAAGGGGTGCATGTGAGTGACAACGGCAAGGCAAAGACAGAAACTAAGTTCCCTCCTGCCCACCAGGGCCAGTGCCTCCCGGCCTTTGCTGTCCCCACACCCTGGTTGTCAGTTGCTGGCTCCTCTGCACCCCCTTGGGAAGCTGTCCCTTGTCCGTGTTTTGGGTCAGGAACAACTGCTGTGTGCTCCCACCTGCTACCCGGCACTCTTTTGGGGTAGCAATTATTACAACTCTTAACAGTAACTCTTTGTTTAAATTGTTTCCCCTCTGGACTGGGCTGCCGCGTTTAGCACCTAACACTGTGACCACGTATTTGTGGACACACGAATCATTTTCCACAAACATGAAACTCCTGGCTCTCCCACAGTGTTGGGCAGACCTGTCGGGGGCCCCTGACTCACCAGACAGGTTGATCTCGGTTAAGGAGTCTCGGGTGGTGGTGCCGACAGCGGTGAGCAGGTTGATGGACTGGTCGGTGACGTGGTTACAGTAACTGAGGTGGAGCTTAGAGAGCAGGGGCATGTGGCGGATGATGAGCCGCAGGGAGGCGTCCGTGATGTCCAGGCCTGCCAGGCGCAACTCCACGATGTTCCGGAGCTTGCTCCGATTGTCCATCTGACCTGGTGGGGCAGGAAGGAGGGGGCGACCTGTCAATCTGACTTAGGAGGCTTAGTCACATTGACATGACACTCTAAAAGGGCCACCAGCCAGACAGAACACTCAGATTTCATTTAGTTATCAACTGCTTCTTCCCAAAATCAGAATTCCAACAGTTAAAAATCAGACTCCACATCAAGCCTTAGACTTCTAGATTCTCTTGAAAAACTAAAAGATCTAGAAACACTAGGCCCACACTCTACCCGGGAGTCGCCAAGCCAACCAGTGCAGAGGTGGCACCACATCTCTGATCTCCGTGGCTTGGCAAGAAGCACGGACCTAGACAGCCCAGCCCAGGGGGGAGGCGCCATCCTGGAAGCCCTCGCGCAACCACACGGATCCTGATGGCAGTGGAGACTGGAAACCAACGAGGGGCAAGTCAACAGAAAAGCAGTTAGACGCACAGAGCCCCCAGGAGGAGTATCGCATGTGCACAGGAGAGGCTGCCTCCTCCCAGATTCCCTCTGTGCCTGAAGCAAACTGAGAACACAACAGCAGAGACTCATCCCTATGTCCTCTGGGGAAGGGCTGGGGCTGGAGAAGAATGGAGGACATGCTGGGGTCTGGGGCTAAAAACAGAAAACCCCAGCCTGGCAACTCACCTGGCCTGTTATCTGTGGGCGGGGACAGGAGATCCCGCATCTGGGCATCCTTTAGTCCCTCTACCCACTGAACATCCAGGGTCCGGAGCAGTGGACAACTGGAGCTGCAAAGGGCAGAGACTGCGATCCATGAGCAGCCCGACAGCACCAAGTCCCGGAGCCCTGGAAGGAACACAGAAAGGGGCACAGGTCAGGGGATGCGCCCCCAGAACCCATCGCAGCAGACACACTCGGGGCCCTTGGCCCAGGGCTCACCAGGCAGCCGGTTGATGAGCCAGCTCAGCTGCTTCTTGGAGATATTGGTCCAGCTGAGGTCGAGGGAGACGGGCTGTCGCCGGATGATGCCGCTCAGCATCAGGGGTGTGATAGACTTGCAGTGGTTCAGGTCAATGCGGGTCCACAACCGCTTATCACAGCACCTGGGGACCGGCCCGGTGGGGATACATCATCAGAGTTGGGGCTCCTCTGGGAAGCCCATGCACAGCTATAACTCTCCCCACCTACCAACCTCTAGAGGCAGCTCCTTAACTCAGCTCTCTAGACCCTTCTCTGTATAGTATCCGTCCTGCCCCCACACAGCACCTCCCCTCTGTTCTGACAGCCATGGTCCTCGCACTCCACAATATTTACTTACTGAGACAGAGTCTCGCTTTGTCACCCAGGCTGGAGTGTAGTGGTGCAATCTCTGCTCACCACAACCTCCGTCTCCCAGGTTCAAGCAATTCTCCGAGGTTCAAACCTCCCATGTAGCTGAGATTATAGGTATGTGCCACATGCCCAGCTAATTTTTGTATTTTTAGTAGAAACGGGGTTTCACCATGTTGGCCAGGCTGGTCTTGAACTCCTGACTTCAAGTGATCCCCCGCCTTGGCCTCCCAACATGTTGGGTTACAGGCCTGAGCTACTGTGCCCAGCCTCCATCAAGTATTTACAATGGGCTTTACAATGCCCTCTACCAGCTGTTCCTCCAAACAACCCCGTGAGGCAGGCGTATGCCAGTTCACACAAGAGGGTAAGGCAGAGCTACGGCCAGAAAGCTGGTAAATATCAGCTGGGACTCAAGTTGCAACTGGCAGCCTTGCTGGAAACCTGGACTAATTCTCGTAAGTCAAGGACTCCAGGTGGTCCTCGCTTCACCCTCCAGGAAGCTAAATCAGGGAGCAAACAGGGTCACCTCCTCCTCTGACAAGACCAGAGGGGCCACCGTAGCCAGCTGAAACACTTTGTGGAGCACAGTGAAGCCGTACGGGGGCTTGGAAGGAAAAAGCATCACCAGTGACTCCACACACACAGGCTGTCTCTGGTGCCACCTGAGCCTTAACCTAGAGCCCAACGCGGGCTGCTGCTCACCAGCGGTTCCAGGTCCTGCAGACCCGCATGCAGACACACAGGTCTTGGTGGCTGAGGTAGCTGAAGACGGCCATCCACACCTCCCTGTGCATGACGTGGGCTGCCCCGTCATCCAGGGGCAGTGAGTCAGGCGGGGGGCTGATGGGGGGTGGCCGGATCACATGGCGCTCCATCTGGATACACTTGGGCGGGGACACAGAGGGCGGGGGCCGGGAGATGACTCGGGGCGGGCTGCGCAGGCCAGGCCCCAGCTGGTGCCGCAGCTCCCGGGGGGTGCCGTTGAGCCCCTTGCTGAAGCGGTGGGGGCGCTCGCAGACACCCGGGGGCCGCCTGGGCTCCTCGCCCTCACTCTCAGGCTCCGACTTGATGGGCTGCTGGTTCTCGTTGGCCAGGCTGCTCTCCGTTCTCTGGATCTCGTGGTTGAGCTCCTTGCTCAGCTCCCTGCTGAGCTCCTTGTTGGGGAGCCGCCGCTTCCGGCGTATCTTCACCTTCTTCTTCTCCTCTGGGCCCTCAGCCCCCTCAGTGCTGGGTCCCGCAGTGGGCGAGCTGGAGCGGGAGTGGTCGCTCTCCCTGGTCTTGGGGGGTGCCTCAGGCAGATCGTCCTCGGGTTCTTGCTTGAAGCGCCGGAGGGGCTTGTTGGCCAGTGCCATGCGGTCCTCCGCGTTCTTCCAGGACCGCCGCTGAGGGCAAGAACAGAGAGGGAGGGCGGTCAGCCTCTGGGGCTCAGGGCTGCACCCACCCCAGGGCTCCTGCCCCTGTCATGGGACTGTGGCCCAGGGAGCTGCCGTGCAGCTCTGACGGCTCGGGCACAAGAGGGAGGGGAAGACAGTACCTTTTTCCTGAAAAGCTTATCTTCTTTGCCAGGTTTAAGCTGTCATGGGAAAGAAAGGACGAAAAGCTTGCTCCCCAGGCTCGTGGGATTTGATCCCCCTGACACCCCACTCCACCCCACCTCACGAGTCCACAGTCTCTAGAGGAGGGACTAGAGGGACACCTTCCCCACAAATGCCATCTCCTTCACGTCTGGCCAACAGACGGGTGTGCCCTGCCTGTGGCTTTCAACGAAAAAGCTGAAAGTAGGGGTATGGTTGAATTGTTCCCACCCAACTGACCTCCCACCCCACAGACCCAGAGATGTGCAGTTGCCCATTCAAATCAGCCTTGGCTCTGGGAGTCAGTTCTGGAGCACAGGCCTGTGGGCATCCCTGGCCCAGCCAGAAAGGCCAGTGCTGGGAGAGACTCCTGGCGCCACCTTGTGGCTACTGACAGCACGGCGGTGGGCAGAGCAGGACCACCGGGCTCCTCCAAGGTTCCCTGGACTCACAGCTTCCATCCCAACCAACAGAGGCTCTTGTCACAGACAGCTTCCCAGGCCTCCAGCCAGAACCAAGAGCCAGAGATCTGGGGCCGAGGCCTGGGAAGCATTGGGAGAGGCAGCAGTGGGGTGGAGGACCAGCGGGGTGGGGTGGGGGACAGCTCGGGACTCGCCAGTCCCCAGGGCCTCAGGAGGGCGTGCGTCGTGGGAGCACCTGCTGCTGGAAGTAAGTGAGACTGGATCTCCACCAGGGGCTGAGGCTGCTGCCTAGAGGGGGCCTCGGCGAGAGGTGAGAGGAGGAACCGGGGGACGTTTGAAGCGATGAGGCCTAAAGGGGGGGGTGGGAAGAGGAGTGACTCGCTGGGTTTCCCCTCCTTTCTTTGGGGCAGGGCTCTCAGGACTTAGGTGACCTGCTCAGGGCAGCAAGAGGCTGGGATTATCCCAAGCTCTACCTGCTGCCCACCCCTGCCCCATTCCTCCAACCCAGCACCCGGGACCAGCCAGACCACCCACTTCGCCTCCCAGCCCCTCCTGGTCCTTACCCGCTTGCGTCCACTCAGCTCCTGGGGCTTCTCGTATTTCCGCTTCTTCCTCAGGTGCACATCGTCAGACTTCCTTCGCAGGACGCCGTCTGGGGGCGCCTTCTTGGGGTGCTCGTCCGACCTGCGCCGGGGTGCCTCCTCACACTCACTCCTCCGCTTGGCAGGCTCCTGTCCTTCCTTGTTGTCCCGGTTCATCTTCTGCTCCTTGAGCAGGGAGCCGGGCAGGTTGGAGGCGTACTTAAAGCCAGGGCCACGCTTTTGCTTGTAGGCCAAAAAGAGGGAAGGAAGAGACCAACTGTATACCTTTGGACTTGCCCTTCCTCCTCCCCAAGTCCACGGCACCCCACCTGCCTCACACTCCTGGGACAGGCTGGTCCCTGCCAGGCCCAGGCCCGCCCCTCTCCAGGCTGACCCTGGGACTTGGAGCCCAGCACTCACTTTCCCGGTCTTGCCGGCATGGTTACACTTCGGACACTCCCAGCAGTTTGGAAGCTCATCGTTGACCACACCCTCTGACTCCTTAATCTGCAGAGAACATCAGGACTCAGAAGACGGCAAGGCGGAGAAGGGGCCCATGGGCATGAGGCTCTGTGATGCCACATCTTCCAGAAACAGCAGCACCCCCTCCCCAATGTCACGTCTATCCTGTTTCCAGCCGAAAGAAAACAGCCGCATAGGCTGGCACAGACGGGTGACTGTGGATCCAAGCCAGGGTTCAGAGGCTGAGCCCTTCTGCCTCTCTGGGACCTGGGGCAAGTCACTCCATCTCTGTGGGCTGGTGTCCTTGGCCATCTCACTGGGGGGGGGGGGCGGTATGACGCAGGTAAAGCCACCAGCTCAGGACCTGGCACGCAGAAAGGACTTTGCAGATCACTCTACTGGGTGCTGGGGGAAGGAAGGAGTCAGGTGTTGAACCCTGTTCTCCCAGAAGCCTGGGGCCACCTGGAGGCTCTCCCTCTGGCCCAGCGGCAACCAAGCAGCCTGTGTTTGCTGTCCGCTGAGACTCTGGGAACCTTCTCTGGTTCTGACCGCCTGGGAGGTGAGGGTGTGTTTATTCATTTGATAACACTGGGTCTCTGGGGTGCTCCAGGCCCTCTTTGCCCTGAGCTTATCCCTTGACACACAGGATCACCCAGACGCAGGGTCTGCCAGGAATTCACCTCACTGTCTGCATCCCACCACCTCACCGGCATCTCCAGGAACCCCACCTGCCCCACAGCATCAGCACCACCCATCCCCACAGGGCTGCTCACCTTAAGGCATCCGGGGTGGATGATTTCATTGCAGATGGAGCACTCCATGAGCATGAGGTTAAACTTGCCTTCCTCTTCTTCCACCGTGTCTTCCTTCCCTGCCTCGCCACACACGAGGCACACGGCGGTGTGGGGCAGCACTGGCTAAGGAGCCAGAGAGAAGAAAAGTCAGCAGGGGCACGGAGCACAGACCCCCGGGGTGGGGGGCAGGTCAAGGGCAATGAGCTGCTCCCTTCAGGCCTCCAGGAGACACCAGGAAAGTGGCCCAGGCACATTCGCTCACTCAATCATCCAAATACTTATCAGGCTACTACCTCCACATGCCAGATACTATTAAATGCTGGGGATACAGCAAGGAACAAGACAGCTCAAAATCTCTGCCATCCAGACCTTACATTTTAGTGGAGGGAGGCAGACAAAATGAATAGAGCATGTTTGAGACAGAGACATGGGGGGAAATTAGAAGGCTGGGGTGAGGGGTGGAAGGGGGGCTGATTTTAAATACAGAGGTCAGGGAAGGCCTCACATTCAGAAAAGTCCCAAAGGAGCTGGGGCGTGAACCCAGCCCAGATCCATGCAAATGAGATGAGGCTGCACCTCACCAGTGGGTATTTAAGGCACATACCATGGACTGTGGGGCTCCCAAGACCTTTACAGAGAGGCTACGAGGTCAGAACTGTCTTTGGAATAACAGATGTGATTTGCCTTTTGCACAGTGTTGATACTTGTACTGTTGGATGAACCTGCTGGCCCCTCAGCACCAGTCAAGGCAAGGCCCCTAGCTGCACCAGCAGCCACAGAGGGACTCATGGCCACAGGCTTGTTAAAAAGATCACCAGTTTCATCTAAGAATATCCCTGATGAAAAATTACTTGATGAAAACCTTCCCCTTGAGTACATATCCTTTTCACATGCTTTGTGACAATAAGAAGTATGTGTAAAGTGCCCCTGCACACAGGTGACGTGTACCAAAGGAAAGGCACTCGAGACTGAGCTGTGAGCTGAAATGGCCACTTCCTCCATAGATTATTTTTTACTTAAAGGAATGACTGACAGAAACCCCCTGGGCATTGGTGTATTTTTGTGAACATCAAAGAAGTGACCTTGTCATTTCTAGAAAAATAACTGACAGCATTCATTGCAGATGACAAAAATTCAAGTTTCTGAATGAAAATTAAACTTTTGGAAAACTTACATGAGTCACCATAATCTGCACAGCTTCCCAATACTGAAAGACTTTTCTGATAAGATCAGTGATCATATTAACAAATGTGATTTTTAAAATATTATGTCATGCGCCAATATTTGGAATATCTGCCTAACTCAGGGAGCCAATATTTCCCAGATGACCAATGCATGGTGTTACAACATCATGCTGGTGCAAATGAGCTACTCAAAGTGCAAGGCAGGCTGATGACTTTCAATGTAACAGTATGAAGAGCTCATTGATACAGTTTCAGATTCCACATTGCAACTAACCTTTAAAAAACCCCCTGTTGAGTTCTAGTTGAATATCAGAATATCCACAATTATCAAAAAAGCTATTAAAGTACTCCTCCCTTTTCCAACTAGTGCATCTGTGTGAGGCTGAATTTTCCTCATACTCCCTACAGAACAACATATCAGAATAGACAAAACACAGAAGCAGATATTAAAATTTCAGGTCTTTTTTTTTTTTTTTTGGAGACGGAGTCTTGCTCTGTTGCCTCTCGGCTCACTGCAACCTCCGCCTCCCAGGTTCAAGCAATTGTACTGCCTCAGTCTCCAAAGTAGCTGGGATTACAGGCATGAGCCACCGCACCTGGCAATACCAGGTCTTTTCTAATGAACCAGACATAAAAGAGATTCACAAAGACATAAAACAATGCCATTCTTCCTATTAATTATTTTTGTTTTGGAAAATTTGATTATTTCTCATAAAAATATGTTATTTCTTATTTATTTATTTATTTTTCAGACGGTGTCCTGCTCTGTTGCCCAGACTGGTCTGCAGTGGCATGGTCTCCGCCCACTGCAACCTCCATCCACCTCCCATGTTCAAGCAATTCTCCCGCCTCAGCCTCCTGAGTGGCTGGGACTACAAGTGCACTGGCTAATTTTTGTATTTTTAGTAGAGATGGGGGTTTCACCCTGTTGGCCAGGCTGGTCTTAAACTCCTGGCTGGCCTCAAGTGATCCTCCCACCTCGGCCTCCCAAAGTGCTGGGATTGCAGGTGTGAGCCACTGTGACCAGTCAAATTATGTTATTTCTATTAACATGTCACTGGCTTTCTTGTTATTTTAAGATAAATTTAAAATCTAAAAAGCATTTCTTGGTCAGGCATGGTAGTACATACCTGTAATCCCAGGACTTTGGGAGGCCAAGGCAGGCAGACTGCCTAAGCCCAGGAGTTTGCGACTAGCCTGGACAATGTGGCAAACCCTGTCCTTACAAATTACAAAAATTAATTGGGCATAGTGGTGAATGCCTGTAATCCCAGCTACTTGGGAGGCTGAGGTGAGAGGATCACTTGAGCCCAGGAGGTAGAGGCTGCAGTGAGCCATGAGCACACCATTGTACTCTAGCTGGGCAACAGAGCCAGATTCTGTCTAAATACATATATATGTAAGTTTTAATTTATGTTTTTCTTTTAGCTAAAGTTCTTTCATACCAAACTCAGTTTAAAATTTCTTTTCTTTCTTTTTTTTATTTGAGACGGACTTTCGCTCTGTTGCCCAGGCTGCGCAGAGAAGCTTCAAGCAGGCTGGGATATATACACCACTGGTAAGTGAAGAAGACTTGATGAAATGGCACAAATGTTTGAATTCTAATAAATAGGACACAGAAGGCAAGGCAGTCATCGTTCCTTCAACAAATACTAAACGCACACTGCCACGGCCTGAAGCAAGGTCCTAGGGGTACGGAAGTGAGGGAGACGGCTGCTCCCCATGAGCTATTTGGGAAGACAAAGACTTAAGTTGTTGAAATCCAAAGAAAGCATGGAAAAGTCATGTTCAAGAGTTATCAGAAGCAGCAGAGGCTGATTTCTGGAGGGCTCAGAGGACAGGGTGGAGAGAAGCCAAGTGGGGAAGGCAGTGGGGTCTCGAGGTGAAAGACGACATAGCAACCTGCACAGAGCAGGCTGGGCCAAAGTGGACGGCTGGGGACCAGACTGCAGTGTGGGGCACAGGGTGAGGCACAGCCCACACGGCAAGAAGAGGGTCTGTGGTGGGGTGGGGCAGATGGCAGAGCTGGCTCTGAGCCAGGTGGCAGGATGGGAGGTATCACCAAAGGTGAAGCTCCTGCAGAGAGTGGCGGGACTGTTGGGGGCCATGGGAAAGTGGGGGGAGGGGAAGAGACTGCACAACACCGGCACAACACTGGGCACGACACCAGCAGGGACATGGTAAAGAGGGGAGGAAGCTACAGAGGCAGCCCCAGGGGCGGAGCAAAGGGAGGGGCCAGAAGAGGAAGACCGGTGGGCCTGCATATATCACAGGTGGGTAATGCGTGGGAAGTGCCCTCGCAGAGCAGAAGGGCTGGGAGAAGAGTAAGAAGCACCCGAAGGGTCAGGCAAAGCCTGCATCTGCTATTAGTCCCAGACGCCATGTCAGGCTGAAGAGAGTAGAAGACGTAGAAAAATGGGGTTTCCTTCAACCAGCATGCCCTGCGCCAGGCACCAGAGCTGCAAGGATAAGGTGGCACCCGAGACAGGTTTCCTATAACTGGGCCCAGCACACTGGGGGTGGGAGAAAGTGTCATGCCAAAGAAGAAAAGACAGCTGTGGGTTTATTGCTGGTGCACAGTGAGTTTTAGGTGACACCATTAAAAAACCCAATAGTTGCTATAGACAAGCTCTTTTAAGTTCGATAGGATCCAATGGGTCACATGGACCCTCTCTCCAAAAAATGTACATCCATGCATGCATACAGACAAAAATGCATTTAATTTCAGGAAGGCTCACAAATTCCCTGAAATCTGTGGAAATGTCCTGGGGTTTGGGGACCAATTAAAAGCACAAGCAGTGAAACTAAACTTCTGCAGCAAAGAAGGAACTGACAGAGTGAAACGGCAATCTACAGGATGGGAGAAAATCCTTGCAAACCAGAGACCTGATAAGGGTTAATATTCAAAACATATGAAGAAGTTCTCTAACTCAACAACAAAAACCCCCAAAAGAAAACCAATTTAGGCGGGGTGTGGTGGCTCACACCTGTAATCTCAGCACTTTGGGAGGCTGAGGCAGGTGGATCACCTGAGGTCAGCAGTTCAAGACCAGCCTGACCAACAGAGTGAAGCCCTGCCTCTGCCAGAAATACAAAAAATAGCTGGTGTGGTGATACACGCCTGTGATCCCAACTACTTGAGAGGCTGAGGCAGCAGAAGTGCTTGAACCTGGGAGGCAGAGGTTGCAGTGAGCCAGGATTGCACCACTGCACTCCAGCCTGGGCAACAAAGTGAGACTCCATCTCAAAAAAGGAAACCACTTTCAAATGGGCTAAGGACTCAAACAGACATTTCTCCAAAGAAGACAGATAAACAACCAATAAGCACATAAGAAGATGCTCAACATCACTAAGCGTTAGGGAAATGCAAATGAAAGCCACAGTGAGATGCTACCTCATACACATTAGGATGGCTACTGAAAGCAAACAAACTGGCTGGATGCAGTGGCTCACGCCTGTAATCCCAGCACTTTGGGAGGCCGAGGCGGGCAGATCACCTGAGGTCAGCAGTTCAAGACCAGCCTGGCCAACATGGTGAAACCTTGTCTCTACTAAAAAATACAAAAATCAGCCCAGTGTGGTGGCCGGTGCCTGTAATCCTACCTATTCGGGAGGCTGAGGCAGGAGAATCGCTTCAACCAGGGAGGTGGAGGTTGCAGTGAGCCGAGATCGTGCCACTGCACTCCAGCCTCGGCAACAAGAGTGAAACTCTGTCTCAAAAGAAAGTAAATTAAAAAAAAAAAAAAAAAGCAACAAACAAAAACCCCTTAACATAACAGATGTTGGTGGGGATACAGAAAAACAGGAACCTTTGTGCGCCCGTGGTGGGAATGTAAAACGGCACAGCTGCTGTGGCCAACAATACAGGTTCCTCAAAAAGTTAAAAAATAGAATTAGCATGTGACTCAGCAAGCCCACAGCACAGGATTGAACTGTGTGAGTTCACTTATATTCACTTTTCTCAATAAAATTTATACCGAGTGTGCCTGCATCTCCTGCCTCCCCTTCTACCTCCTCCATCTCTTTTGCCTCTGCCACCCCGAGACAGCAAGACCAACCCCTCCTCCTCTGCCTTCGAAACGTGAAGATGATGAGCATGAAGACCTTTAACAATGATCCACTTCCACTTAACGAACGATAAATATGTTTTCCTTATGATCTTTATAATATTTTCTTTTATCTAGCTTACTTTATTGTAAGAATACAGTATTATAATTCATATCACATATGAAATATGTGTTAACGGACTGTTTCTGCTACTGGTAAGGCTTCTGGTCAACAATAGGCTAAGAGCAGCTAAGTTTTAGGGGAGTTGAAAGTTACCTGCAGATTTTTAACTGCACAGGGGTCAGCTGGTACCCCCAACCCTTTTGTTGTTCAAGGGTCAGCTGTATATCCAAAAGAATTCACAACACCATCTCAAAGAGGTATGTTCACTGCAGCACTATTCACAATAGGCAAGAGGTGAAAGCAACCTGAACGAGTACCAACAGATGAATGGACGAAGACAATCTGGGCCAGGAGTGGTGGCTCATGCCTGTGAGCACAGCACTCTTAGGAGGCCAAGTTGGCCAGATCACTTGGGGTCAGGAGTTCAAGACCAGCCTGGGCAAGACGGTGAAACCCCATCTGTACTAAAAACACAAAAATTAGCTGGGTGTGGTGGCGGGCGCCTGTAATCCCAGCTACTCGGGAGGCTGAGGCAGGAGAATCACTTGAACAAGGGAGGTGGAAGTTGTAGTGAGCCAAGATCACACGGCTGCACTCCAGGGTGACAGAGCGAGAGTCTGTCTCAGAAAAACAAATTTGGTATAAACACACAGTAGAGTATTAGTTGGCCATTAAAAAAAAAAAAAGGAAATTGTCATATGCTTCAAAATGGATGAACGCTGAGGACATTCTGCTCAGGGCTATAAACAAGGCAGTCCACTCACAGAAAGCCAATTATTGCATGATTCCACTTCCATGAGGCCCCCAGAGAAGTCTAGCTCTTAGAAACTGAAAGTGGAATGGTGGCTGCCTCGACTGAGGGAAGGGAAACAGGGGCAACGCTTCAATGGGTGCGGAGTTTCCATCTGGCGAAACGAAAAAGTTCTAGGGATCAACTTCCCCAAAATATGCATATACTAATAATGCTGTATTGCATACTTGAAAATGTGGTCAAAATTTTTGACCACAATCTGAAAAACCAAAACACAAGAAATATGTGTGGAAGGAGAGAGGTGAGGTATCTGGGCCTGGGGGGCATCGGCAGCCAAAGAGGAAAGGCTCACCCTATGCCAGGCTGGGCCTGTAGATGAGTGCACCAGGACCGAAGAATCCTGTCCCTCCAGCTAAGCCTGCTTTTCCACGGGGACTGGGAGATGCCTCCTCCACAAGGCGTACCGCCACCCCACCCCCAGCAGCGCCTTGGGGAAGGCAGAGCATGTGGGTGTGTGTACAGTGGGCTTCATGGACAAACTCTGCGACCTCACCCCATTGCGGAAGTCCAGTCCACGTCTGCTGCCCTGTCTAGGGGGGAGACCAGAGGCACGAGGCCACTGCCGGAGCTGAGGCCAGGCGGTGCGAAGGGGCAGGGCAGGCCAGGCTCTCCCGGGTGCGGCTCCTCAGCACCATAAATCACTCCTTGCTGGGGGCTGCCCCCTCAAGTGCCTGGCGCTGACCTTTCACCCAGACTTATGACTCTGAAGGCAGGACCGGAAGGAAGGGCGGGCGCAGAACCGTCACCAACTGGACCGTAATGTTGGCCACGGGGTCGCAGACAGGACAGGCTGCCTGTCATCTTTAATGGCGGCAACTTCAAAGTACCTAGGCACCCTGGGAGGGAAGGAGCAGGACGCCTGAGCCTCTGAAGCGGCCGGCGCCTTCCCGTACAGCTCTCAGGGAGTCCAAGCCCCGGTTTCTCTGTGCGGAGGTTTCTCTGTGCGGAGCGGCGGCCAGAGGAAGCAGCGGTCAGAAACGCAGGCCCGCAGGCCGGCACAGGGCCGGGACAGAGCGCAGGGCTGGGCGGGGCTGCACTCACCGCGATGCACTGCCGCATGATGCAGCTCTGCTTCATGCGCCCGGGGCCCCCGAACTTCTTCATGTCCTTGCAGAAGTGGCACTCTCCGCACTCGGTCCGCAGGCAGGCCTCGCACTTGCGGCATCGCGTCCGGCGTCGCCGAGCTCCTGCAGTTGTCCGGTTGGCGGCCAACTTCACCGCGGAGGTCGGGCCCAGCTTCCCCTTGGGCCGACCCACAGCCCGGTTCTGCAGGGAAGAGACAGGGCTGGTCAGATGGGGAGGCCAGACCCTCGTAAACGGTGTTAGGGAGCAAACTGCATACCCCAGAAAAACATGATAAAGGCCCTAAACCCCATGCCTCAGTGTGACGTGATTTGGAGATGGGGCTTTGCAGAGGTCGTCCCTCCGGTTAAATGAGGTCTTTCAGGTGAACTCTAGCCAGAATACCTGGTGTCCTTAAGAAAGGGGGGCATTTTGACACAAAGACGGACACGCATGGGGGGAACGCGCGTGAAGACATAGGCCTTCCACAGACCACAACCCTGTCTACAAGCCAAGAAGTGCCAAGGATGGCGGCACACACCAGGAGCTGGAGGCACGGGGAAGGACCCTCCCCTAGAACTCGCAGCGCCCGTCCAGCCCGCCAGCCCACACCTTGACTTCAGACTCTTGGCCTCCAGAATTGGGAGAGAAGAAAGGCCCGTTGCTTTAAGCCACCCGTTACGGCAGCTCTAGGAGAGGACTACAGAGGGCGCGAGCTTCTGCCGCAGCACCCCGCTCGAGACCTTCCGCGGCCCGCATGCACAGCCTCGGACCCTGCCCACCTTTCCCATCTCCGTCTGCTCCCCAGAAAAGACCGCAAGGGCCACACAGTCGGTCTCTGTTCCCCCAGGCCGGAAGGCCAACCCCACCCCTCAGGCCACTTGGCTGACGCCCACTCATCCCGCCTGGCCAGTTTACAGGCTGCTTTCTTCTGGAAGCCCCTCCTGCCCACCCAGGAGTTCAGGGCCCCTCCCAGCAGTGTAAGGGCATTCACAATGGCAATCATCTGTTCCTATGCCGTCCTTCCCTTTGGGATGGGGTGCAAGAGGGCACTCGCCTCAGGTGTCTTGTCCACCATTGCACCTCTACAAGCCAGCTCAGCGTGCAGAATGCACTCAACAAACCAGAGCCCCCAGAGGATGGGATAGGAACCTTAGGTCCCAGATGACTCAGACCTTCCCTAGATGGGCTCCAAATGCTCCCTTCCCTGGAACTCAGAGAATAGAGACAGTAGGTGGACAGAGAGCTGGGCTAGTAGCTAAGCTAGGAACAGGACAGCAGCCCCTGCCCTCTGGTTCCCAGCCTCAGAGTCTCCTGCAGACCCAGGATGCACGGGGGGTGCCCTATGCTAGCTGCCGAGGACACAGAGGTCCCCTGTCCACTTGGGACCTATGGTGGGAGGGACCAGGATGGGAGAGCTTTTGTCTGTGGCATCTTTCTGGAGATCCCGAGTTGGCTGAGAAATGAAGTCCCTGTCAGGGAGACACATGGCCACCCTGGAAACCAGCTGACCTAACCGGCATCTAACACCTAAAGCCCCTTTTCAGCTAACTGAACACCCTTTGCTCCAGAGTCCCACCCTTTTCATTTCAGTGGTTTGTCATACTTGAATCCCCAAACAAAACCCCATCCTTTCAGGAGCATACCGGCCCAGAAGAGCTGTTACTATTCATCCACTCCAATGGAGAAGAAGGTCGTTGTCACAGGGACGCCCCCTCCCACAACACACACAGCTCCCCTGAGCACCCTAGGGGCTTCCAAGAAACTTCCAACTGCATAGGAAGAAAAACGGCCTCCCTTTCTTCTCCAGTACAACCTCCCCATCATAACTTTCTTCTCCAGTGTCTCGGTCCTTGTAGAAAGCCCACAGCCTCGCATTCCACCCCCTTTGCTGTAAACACCTAAGCAAATCCCTCCCTCCGATTCACGTTCCTGCAGCGTTCAAGAAGCTATGAAGCCCCATCAGCCTGAGTGGCCCCTCAGGAAGCACTGGGGCGCTGGGCCTCCATCCTGCTCAACCTGCTGTGAACCCCAAAGAGAAAAGGGAGGCACTTCCCGATTCTACCACCCTCACCTGCCGCTGCTCTTCCCTAGCTGCTCAGGACCCTCAGTCATGCCTGCCTTCTGCTCTGGGGCAGCCCAACCAGAGGCCTGGTCACAGGGAGGGCAAGCCCTGGACTGCAGGATTGCCCACAGGCAAGCTGGCCGCCACCAGCCACCTGGGGAAAGGGACTGCCCAAAGCAGCAAAGGGGGCCAGGCACGGTGGCTCACGCCTGTAAGCCCAGCACATTGGGAGGCTGAGATGGGAGGATCACTTGATGTCAGGAGTTCAACACCAGCCTGGGCAACATAGTGAAACCAAAAAAATTTTTTTTAATTAGCCAGGCATAGTGGTGAGCACCTGTAGACCCAGTTACTTGGGAGGCTGAGGTGGGAGGATTGCTTGAGCCCAGGAGTTTGAGGTTGCAGTGAGCTCTGATCATCCACTGTACTCCGGCCTAGGAGGCAGAGCAAGACTCCATCTCAAAAAAACAAAATAAAACAAAAAGAAAAAAAGAAAGAAAGAAACCCTTCCTTACAAATAGGGCCGGATGCCCCCAACATACTCGCATAGTCCCACTATGATTAGCACCTTTGGAGGTCAGGTCTGCCACTCACGGCACACGTCCGTCCAGGTCAGGTCTGACCACCCATGTGGAAATAAAACAAGATCAGTTTTCAGAGCGTTCTGTACTTGAGAACGGCACACGAGGGACTGTGAACCTGAAGCTGAGCAGCCAAGGCGAGGTGAGGTAGAGCTGACGACCAAGATGATAGCCACGACACGTGAGGGTGGGGATTACCAGAGCACCCCATCTGCGGGCACCGTGGCCACCAGTTTACCGATGATATTACCTAACTTTCCCGGAAACAGCCCTGTGGAGGATGCCTTCATGCCCCCATTTTTCAGATGGGGAGACTGAAGCCAGTAATTTGCCTGTGGTCATGGAACCAGCATGGATGTGTGGACTCCGGAGTTGTGCTCTGAACACGCTAAACCATAGCAAATGCATATGCAACATGCAGCAAGGGGCCCACAGACCCACTGGGATGGCCACATGCTGCCAGAAGGGCTTCCCAGCTACTGCCACAATGCCTTAGTGTGAAGGCTGCCAACAAGAGGTCCAGAGAAGCAGAAACCCAAAAAGATTTCTCCCTGTTGTCACAGCCCACGACAGCACTTTCTGATTCTACCCCTCCAAAGGACAGGTGTCCTGTTACCAGCTCACTCCTCAAATACCTGGAACATAGGCAACACTGCCCAGCGTCTTCTTCAAGTGTGAAGTGGCCGGCGTGTGGGCCACCTCCCAGGACAAAACCAGACCCCTGGAGCAGGAGAGTCTAAAGACGAGCTTCCCTGGTGAAAAACTGAAAAAATTCCAGGAGTTCAAAGGAGTGCCAGGTATCAACAGCCACTGAGTGCCTCTGGCCTCCCTGCCCCGAGGACAGTGTCTGGGCAAGCAAAAACTTTTGTTGGGCCAATCCAGTCTGAGTCTCGATGCTCATATGTCACTGCAAAACACGCCCATTTGCCCGCACCTTCCAAAGCGCCTTCTCATCCAACCTGTGGAAAACAACTTGTCTGGGCCTCACTGGTGGCTGAGACATCTGGGAAAATCACAGAGCTCGCACCAGACAGCGTCCCAAAAGAAGAGGTGCGAGAAGCTGTGGTCTTTCAAGACCTCAATGTGACCCTGTCTAGCCGCTGCCAAATCAGGCCAGGGAGACTTCTGCTTTCAGCAGTGGCCCCCGGCTGGCTCATCAAGAGTTGGCTCAGCAATGGGGCAACACGGGATCCTAATGAAGCCCACTGAAAAACACACAGGTGAGACAGACCTCGGAGGCCTCCATTAAAAAGTCCAACTGGGACTCTGAAGACCCAACCAGGAAACGTGATGGCAGAATACAGAAAACAGTGACACAAAAGGGCACAAATGGAATAAAAAGGAAGGTGAGGTTGCAGTGAGCTCTGATCATCCACTGTACTCCGGCCTCTCTCCTTTCGGCACACAGCTTCCTCTGTCCTGGTATCTTTTGGGTGCAACCCCAAGTTTCAAAAGTTTCAAAAACCAATTCTTTTTTTTTTTGAGACAGAGTCTGTGTCACCCAGGCTGGGGTGCAGTGGTGCGATCTTGGCTCACTGTAACCTCTGCCTCCCGGGTTCAAGAAATCCTTGTGCCTCAGACTCCTAAATAGCCACCATCCCTGGCTACTTTTTGTATTTTTAAGGTAAAGATGGAGTTTTGTCATGTTGGCCAGGCTGGTCTCGAACTCCTGGCCTCAAATGATCTGCCCGTCTCAGCCTCCCAAAGTGCTGGGATTACAGGCATGAGTCACTGTGCCTAGCCTGAAACACCAATTCTAACTTCCACATTCTGTCCTACCCCTATCCCAGCAAATGAAGTGATGGCATCCCAGACAGTCATTTTACAAACCAGCATCCCCAACACCAAGGCCACTTGTTGATTTTATCAGCCCAGGAACCATATCCTCAGCTCACTATGAAAGGTTAGGAAAATCTGGAACATAAATATGTGTGCGCGCGCACACACACACACACACCTTAGTATTCCAACACCTATTCTCCATCAGCAACTCAAGGGCATCATCTTTAAAATGAATACTATCTGGGCCGGGCACGGTGGCTCAAGCCTGTAATCCCAACACTGTGGGAGGCCGAGGCGGGGGATCACGAGGTCAAGAGATCGAGACCATCCTGGTCAACATGGTGAAACCCCGTCTCTACTAAAAAAAAAAATACAAAAAATTAGCTGGGCATGGTGGCACATGCCTGTAATCCCAGCGACTCAGGAGGCTGAGGCAGGAGAATTGCCTGAACCCGGGAGGCCGAGGTTGCGGTAAGCCGAGATCGCGCCATTGCACTCCAGCCTGGGTAACAAGAGCGAAACTCCGTCTCAAAAAAAATAAAATAAAATAAAATAAAATGAATACTATCAAGATTTATTCATTCATCCCACCAATAGTTACTGAGTTTCTCTGGTCTACCACATATTCTCCTCCAGAAATGCATGGGCAGAACCCCCTGAATCCCTCATCTCTAAATTATAGTAATTTAAGCTACTTGGATTTCCCTAAATTAAAAAAAAGACATCTCATGTTTATGAATTGGAAGATTTAACATTAAGATTGGTTATACTCCCCA